GAAGAAGCATTTAAATGTATATAGACACAGACCTACATACAGTTCTGGGCAATTACCACAGTCATTAATCTTTTAGCAGCTGAAAATAATAATAACCACTAACATGGATATAGTTCTCTGGAGTTAATAGTGCAATTTAATGTGTGTTATTACTTCTAATGGGCTGAGGTTTATAGACTGCCTGTCACTATGTTAGGGTTAGGGGTAGAGTGGTAGCTAAGGAAGAAAATTCTGCCTGGAGAAGTCAGAGTAATATGTTACCGTTGGCTTTCCTGGGAGAGAAGGCCTGCTATACCCTTGTGCTACGTCTACAACATGATTTCCTGGGAAGCTATCTGGTGGTGGTCCAAGACAGCATACTACAAAGTCATGGATGAAAATACAAGAGAAAGAAACATGAAAACTCAATCCAAAAAAAAAAATTCTTTATGTTTTTGTGCAACTCAAAGACTTCAAAGTTGAGCTATAACTGTTTAAACCTTCAGAGTCCCTTTCTTATAGCCGCATACATCTCCCTTGCTTTAAGATTAAGGCACACTGTATTAACAATTTCCAGTCACTTAAAATACATCACAGTGGCAGCAAGATTTACAAATGCCCAGCTTTGAGTGCCTGAGTCGGTGTGACTTCCACTAGGTGGCGCTCCGTATTAACGCAGTTCTCCAGTGTTCCATGAAAAGACAGCCTGGGGATGTCGGCAGCTGAGGGTCTTTAACTTTTGTTTGCCACGATTTTCAAAAGGGTATGCCTTTGGGGAAGTCTAAAACATCAGCTGTGCCTCCGAACTCAAAAGACTACTAATCTTATAAGTTCCATCGAGAGAGAAAGCAAAGGTTGGAGCCATGTCTCTGCATCACCTCTCCATAAACAATTGAGAAAAATAAAATGGGATAGGAACGGAGTACACCTGTTGCTCTGATAGACCACGTTTCCAAAAAATATTTCCTGTCTTGTTAGTAAACCAACACATACTGCTTGAGCATCTTTACTACACAAAAGCAAAAACAAGTCAATTATTAATTTATTTGGATGCTCCTGCAGCAAGAATTTCAGAGAGAGAGAGAGAGAAAGAGGAAGAAAGAAAAGGGGAGAGAGAAAAGAGAGGAGGGTGATGAGACTGGCAGAAAAGAAAGGAAGGCGGAGCGACCTTGAGAAACAGAGACGGGAACTGCAGAGGAAGGAATGACTGTCGGAAACAGAAAGTGTCCCGAGGAAAGGGCAGGAGGCAGGGCTCCGGGAAGCAAGGACAGAGTGAAATGAAGAAGCGATTGAGGCCATACCTTGGGCAAAGCGTACTTCGGAAGCTTCATTTGGGCAAATGCGTTCCTTCGGTAGGACACGTAGTAATGTGGCCGGCCTCCTGAAGTCAGCTGGATCGTAAAAACAAGGCTGTCAGAGGAGCTACTAGAACAGTTACAGGTCACACAACACCCGCCTGAGCGGAAGGGGGTGGCTGCCAACACAACAAAACAGCAGGCATTCCTGTTGCAGAGAGTGTAAAGACCTGGCATTCAGCTCAGAAATAACTTATACGGCGTATAAGAGTTGGTCAGAGGCCCAAACTGAACCTACTGGACAAAAACACAACTCTTAAATTTACACCGTGGCTCAAAAGCTGGGAAACATTTTCAGCCTTTTTTTTTTTTTTCAAATTGACATAAGCCTCAGGGTACTCTGGTTCATTTGTCCGTCAGCAGCCCAGCTCTCTAGCCCCAAGTCTATGGCCACACAAAGAGGTCCCCATGCCGCATCAGCAGGAAATGGTCCAGGGCAAACAGTGGCAGAGCTGGAGCCTCACGTCTCTGGGCACTGAATTCCAGGGTCATGGTGTCATATTGATGATTGTGGGCACACTGCACAGGCAGAGTGCTGGCACGCTGGATAGAAAGCCAGGCCAGGACTGTGGTCCACATGTGCTCTAGGTCTATCTCTCAGAGGAAAAGTGTGAGCTACCTCCACTAATTTTGTGTAAAATTAACAGCCCAATGAATCCCAGTGGGTGTGAGGAGGGCCGGGAGGGGTGTGGTCTCCACCTCAGGAGCAGCTCTGCCATGCAGGGCATCGTATCGAGGGTGCCACTGCCAACCTCACTCTCCTCTGAAGCCGTTCTTAACCGATACAAATACTCGGAGATTGAATGTGGGCTGGAGTTTGCATCCTCAGAACATCAACAAATGCCTTGGGTGAATGTTCATCAGACACTTAGGAATGTGATTAGAATGTCATCTTCTTCACCATGATGTGGTCAGATGACCTCTTAGTCCTAGTGATGGGTTACAGGATCATGTTCAGGGTGGCACAGGTATAAAATATATGAAATTGCAAATGCAGAATTGATTCACATTTGTAAGTTACAAATGTGGATTATAAACTTATTAGAAACCAGACAAGGTTCCTGGAAGCAGCACTAATAGAGAAATGAATTATAGACAGAACCAATATGTATAACTGTTTGAATGTCACTTGATAATTTGACACTGAAATTATCAGAGTATTCATTACTCATTTCCTGAATAAAAAGGAAACGGTTTGTGTGTGTGTGTGTGTGTGTGTGTGTGTGTGCCTGTGTGTGTGTATAATCATTTGTGAGACATTTAAAAAGTATATAGGCTGATGTTAGGCATTTACAAAAGCTTTCTCAAAGCATGGAATTAAATATCCTAAATCACAGTTTCTTGTCGAAATAAATGTAGTGTCTAGAATGTCTCAATTGTAGTGAAATTTTGTATACATGTATATAAGCTGTTTAGCAATTGTACCTTTGTCATTTTTAACATGGAAAGCAATAACTGAATTTTTAAATGCATTGTCCAAACAAGCTTAAAATTTTCCTCAAATGCTGAAAAGAAGCAAAGCATACTTGTTCCTTGTCTCTTCTAACCACTCATGACACTTCAGCTTCTCATTTGATTCAGTTTCTCATTGGATTCTGAGGCAAAAAACCTGGCTGAATGCATCTCATCTAAAATCTCTTTATTCTAATCACAGTCAGTACATGACAATAAAAGCTGATTACTCTCCTCCCCATAGCCTCTGCCGCCTCCCACCACCTCTAGCCACCCCACAACTTCCTCTTCCCCCTCCTGTTTCTCTACTTTCAAGGTGGGTGTTGGGGAGGGGGCTGATAGGCTGACCATTCCCCTGACAGAGACTGGCATATTTGCTCAGTCCCTTTGATAACTGGGAGATTATTTGAAATGCAGATGAGGGGGACAGAACTGTGCATCATTCTCGAGACAAGCTTACTACCCTAAGCAATGCCTTCATGACCCCATGTTGATAAGATCCTCCAGACACAGCCCAAAGGAACTAATTACTATTCTGTTAGAATAGAAGCTTCCATGCTCAGTAATTTTCCTTTTGTTGAAAACTCCTTCCTTCCTTCCTTCCTTCCTTCCTTCCTTCCTTCTTTCCTTCCTTCCTTCCTTCCTTCCTTTTTACTCTTAAGGGAGTGTAAGTAGTCCGAATGTGCTGCAATAGAGACAGAAACAAGGACAAGAAATGTTTTGAGACAATGAATACAAGTGGATCTTTCGTACCTGAACAAACACGTAATCATCTTGGACAATCAAAGAGTCTGGGTCAATGTAGCCTGGAAAGGGTTTATTTCTGTTAGTCTCTGTGCAGTTCTGCATTCGGCAAGTTAGATATTGTGAATCTGGAAAAAAAATGGGGGTGGGAGGAGATACATACAGAGCTTTAGAGTCAGAGTGGACATTTTCTATTTCCCTTGCTGTCTCCAAGTCTTTAAATAAGCCTCACAGTCTTTGTTAACCACATTATTGCTATCATTATTATTTAAATTATTACCATTATTATTTCATTCACTTGCTTGTAACGTTACCCTCAGCGCCTCCTGGTACTTCCACCAAGTCTTGCCATCCTCCAATACTAAATTTGCGTTAATTCGTTTTTTCCCTCCCAAATCCAAATGAAATCATTTTCAAACACTGGCAATAACACTTGTGATTTCATACACATATATTTTTTGTCATTAGTAGGCTTCTCGTCCACATTTGGACCTTTGACTGACAGGGAAACACACATACATGCAATCATTAATTGTCTAATAATAAAAGCGCTGCTGTTGGTTTAATAATAAGATTCTATGTTAAGATAAAGGTTTTTCTTTGACTACTAATTAGAAGTGAAACAGAATAGAAAGGAGATTTCTGAGTCAAAACTTTGCTCTTATTTTACAGATGAGTAAACTGAGACCCTGGATCTCACCTGAGATTGCAACTACACGGTGAACACAATATCAGTAATGGCAACTCTTACGTCAATTTGGTCTCTAGTGCTGGAAGTATATTGCATCAGGGAGGCTCTCCTTGTTTTTCAACCACACTATGCTGGCCTCTATCTAATCAGGTTATGGTGCTCCCTTATTTAAAACTCCTTTTGCCTCACTGCATTTAGAATACATTCAAACCCTCCACCATCCACCACTCCAGCCCTCCAACCTCCCCCACCTCTTTCCACCCTGATAATCTCTTCTATTCTTCCTGTGAGTCTTCTCATCTAGCCTACTTTATGTTCAGGAACTTGGCCTAACTTTCTACCACTTTAGAGACTTGTTATTTGCCTCAAATGCTTCTCCCCAGGCTGTTCCCAAAGAAGGTTCTAGATTTCAGCTAGTTCACTGTAACTTCTGAGAATCTTCCATGATTACTCTTTGAATTATAGACAGAACCAACATGTATAACTGTTTGAATGTCACTTGATAATTTGACACTGAAATTATCAGAGTATTCATTACTCATTTCCCTGAAGAAAAAGGAAATGGTTTGTGTGTGTGTGCGTGCCTTAATTCTCGTCATGGAATTCTCTTAATTCTCTTCATAGAAGAGAATTCTCTTAATTCTCTTCATAGAATTTATCATAATATAAAATTACCTTGTTCATTATTTCTTTCTGTGCCCTGCCCCCATTAGAATGCAATCTCCATGAAGACAATTTTTTTTTTCTATTATACCCACAGGTTCTAATACTATTCCTGGCACATAGTAGGTAATAAATGAATATTTTTTAGAATATTCCTCATTATTGAAAGATATCTTTTTGAGCAAAAAAAATTATTTTGCTTGTTTTTGATGCTTAATGAGTGGGTGAGTTTGATTTTAAGACATCAGAGACATATGCAGAAATCTACTCTTCCAAATGAAAATATCAGATTATTATTTACATGAAATGCAGGTGGGCAATAGTATGTTGAGATAGGGATTCACTAAAGACTTCTCTTAAGGAAGTAGGAAGTCAGAACTTTCTAGGACTACCTTCAATGAAGGAACTTGTATACACCTGCGTTCTGCAAGGAGCACCACTAGGGGGCGGCATGCACATTTGCTCCATCCAGGGTGGGGAATCTGTGGCCTCTGGATCCTTCAGTGCAGCCTTTTGATTGAATCTAAATTTTACAGAACGGATCCTTTTAATAAAGGGATTTGCTCTATGAAGTCTGGATTCAGTCGAGGGGCCACACTTGGGTATCTGGAGGGCCCCTTGTAGGCTTGAGGACACAGGTTTGCTGATAGTTCTCAGGAGACTCAAGAAGAGCTTTACTCACTGCCTTCCTTCACCCCGCCGCCATTTCCGCAGATGGGGGTAGCTCACAAGCACTGCAACCTGTCTAGTCCTGGTGAAACCATCTCCACAGTTAAAGCAAAGAAGAGCCCTCTACTCCCCCTTCCCCATCTCCTTTTTCAGACATTGTTGTAGTTCCATTTTAGAGCATAACTCAAGATCTTTCTCCTTAAGGACAATTTCTGGGACACATCCCTTCCCAGAATGACCATCCATACGGAAACTCAAAATCTTTACCTCACAATTTCACACTCCACCAGACCCTTTTACCACTTTTAAGTGACTTCTGTCTTTCATAGGTAGGTTAGGGCCACAGAAACAATGCGTATTTGTGACTATGAGACCTGGGCTTGAATTCTGGTGTAGTGATTTACGAGCTGCATGGTTCGTAGGAAATCTCTTCATCTTTCTGTGTATTACCTCCTTGCTCTATTAAAGGAAGATACCAATATAAACCATCATGTAGTTTAGCTGTAAGAATTAATTGAAATAATATATACACTACATGTTTTGAAACTCAAACTTACACAAATGTTAGTTGTTATTGTCAAAAATGTTGCTATTCCTGTTTTCTCTTTTCCTACCTTTCGCAATGATAAGATCAGTTTCGGGGACATACTGGGTCCTTAAACAGACTGGCTAAACCAAATTTGAATATTCCAGTTATATTTCTTAGCAGGTACTCTTGGTGACCTGCCCAACACCCACTCTTCTCTGGAAGAATGCTGGAAAAGCCAAGAGTGGATCTGTTGGCTCATCCCTCGTCTTTGTGACTCGGAAGTTCTCATATGCAAGGATGAATGTTGTTGGTCTAAGGCCACTAGAGGTCTTCCTACTCTCCTTGCCACAGGTTGGGTTAGAAGAGGGCATTTAAATCTAGTGCTGGTAAAAAAGAAGTGGCGGGAGAGCTTTTAAGGGGCCTCTGGGAAGATATAAGGAGATAAAATGGAAGATCCTTCTGTTTCTGTACAACATTGTGATTCTTGGAACTTCTCTAGACTTCTTGCTGTCCAAAGGAGCCAGTCTTACAATCAAGCTTCCATGATGAGTATGACAAAGAGATGGAAAGTACCTGCTCCCAATGACATCACTGAGCTACTGAGGGTACTGACCCAGAGCTGCCCTATTTCTGTGCTTCTTATTATGTAAGATAATGAAAACAATGGATAAACAATACTGAATCTTAATTAGGAGGTCTTGGGCTTCAGATTACAAATAAAATTTCCAATTAGAATTTCTAAGAGTGACACCTAATGAGGACTTCTCGATGCATTTGCAATTCTTGTTCTATTTGTAATGGTGTCTAATAGTTTCCTTTTTAAGACCTTACCCTCCTCTTCAAAGGTCCCTGAACAAACATAAGATGGAAAATATTAACATACACTTTTCATGTTTCTAACTCATCTATATAGAAATTATGAATCTGGAGTATTTGGAAAGAAAATAAAGGAAAATGAAGTCAAAAATGTTTTGAGCATCTATGTGCCAGACACTGTAAAACATGTTCACATTTATTTAGTACATTTAATCGTCATAATACTACAGAGTATATCAACTGATTTTGTAGATAAGGAGAATGAAACTCAAAGTGAGTGTGATTTGTGGAAATGGCAGTATGGGGTTTCAACTTGTCTGACCTGACTCCAACTTTGGCTTATTTCTTTTATACTATACTGCATGAAAAACCCCACTGAGTTTGGGCCAATTTTTATTAAGTATATTTTGGCTTCTATCTAAGAATCAATGGATACACCTAGATATACAACAAGAACACCTGTAAATTACTATTTTTTTGTGAAGCATTTTGGCAATATGGATCAAGATAGTTAAAAATGACATCCTTTGATCTCAGGTTTATTTCTGAAAATTCTATCTAGGAAAATAATTAAGGATCTATGCAAAGATATAACCACTTGGATATTCGTCAGAGTCCTGTTAATAATGAAAAATACTGGAGAAAACAAAATGGCCAACAATAGAGGAATAACTAAACTGTGGAAAATTCATATGTTGCTATTAAAATCCTGCTTCTATGAGGAAATGTTTAATATATTTTATATTACATAAACAGGTTACCAATTAACAATATTATACCAATGTTAATTTCTTAGCTTTGAAAACCATATCGTAGTTACATAAAATGTTAACTTTAGAGGAAGCCAGGTATAGAGTACATGCACTCTGAACTATCCTGGTAACTTCTCTGTGTATCTAAAATTATTCCAAAATAAAAATTTTTTAAAAGTAGGTTACCAAAATACATGCATTATGGACCTGATATTTTTGCAAGTTGTATATATAGATATCTATAAATGTATGTTTGCACAGGAAAAATGAATAAAAGATATATATGAGATGTCAACAATAGTGGAGAGGCAGTAATATGAAAAAGTCAAACAATCCACACAAATTCCTGGCCCAGCACTCCTCAGCTGCGTGAGTGGGGGAAGAGAGAGTCATGGTGGGGTGTGAAATCAACCATCTCTAATTCCTTTGCATGTTCATCTTTCCCCACTCCCCATGCTACATACCGCGGTTGAGCTGTATAAGGAGCCTGTCCTTGGCATGAGAGTTACAAAGTGTACAACTAGGTGATGTAGGAAAAGCCCCTGGAAAAGGTCTTCCAACCAATTCTTGCCTAGAATGGCTCCAAGTAAAATTTGCAAGCTGAAGGGGAAATGATCAATTTTGAGCTGCTGGCCCGTGGTAAAATATTCCTGGTTTGTTCCCTTTCTCCTCCTAATGGAAACAGAAAGAAATTGGCTGCACTTCATAATGAGGGACCAATCACTCTTATTCCCCTTGGGGCTTGCTGTAATAGCATTAAGTATGATGAACCCTTTCCATATTCAATTCTGGTGAGTGTATGAAGCGATTCTATAGGAAGTCTCTTGCAATTTGGCATTAATTAATGTCAATTAATGTATGCAACTGCTAGACACTAGAATTAATTTCATTACTTTTCCCACACAGATGTTTTCCTTGCCATAGGTAATTAGGACACTGCGCTGCTCTTTTCAAGCATCCTCAATCTCTGCAACAGCTGCTGCTTGGACTAATGCAATCCCCATCCAC